TTCTGTCCTAAACCTTGCCAACCCTGATTCTAGATGATTTGATTGTAATAATTGGATACCTATTTTAGCAATGAAACGAAGCTGCTTTTTATTATAGTGACATAGTATCCATTAAATACCTACTTTTTTAGTTGTCTGGTCACTGAAGTATTTCATCAAGTCAAGTATCAAGGTCTTCCTTATTCAATATTTCTTTTACAAATATTTTAATCTGCAATTTCAATTTTTAAAAATTCAGGTAAAACAGCATTATTCTTTCCAAGAAATGGCAAGTTTGTGCCACAGGTGGGGAAAAAAAATGCAGTTAGAAATTCACCGTGATAACTACTGAAAAGATGACTAATGATTTAGCTTGAAATGAAAGTTTAAAGAAGTGCAAAGTGCTTGTTCAAACGGAAATTTGCCTGTTCGTAATTTTATATTAAAAATTTGTTTTTTCATGAATTGTGATTTTGCCAAATACTCATCTCAATTCATGAAATATTAAGATATGAATGTTTGGAAAAAAATACTAAATATATAGCTAAAAATAGGCAGAATACTGAATATTTTGCAGTTAAGTAGAATTTCTCTAAAGAATTATTTATAAATACTGTTTTTTATATAGAAAAGTAAAAAGAGAAAAAAAAAATCCTTACTTCTTTAAACAAAATTTAAATGCTAAAAATATTTTCTGAAAGAGTATTCATAAAACGTGAAGAGAAATAAAGTCTATCTGAATTGCTTTTAAAAATGTTACACTATCATAAAACCACCCTAAAAACAAAAAATTACATACAAAAGCAAAACAGAAAAAACTAAAATTTATCTTAATTCTCGAAAGAGCATTTCAGTTTTCTAATTATCATTTTTTTTGAGAAAAAAGAATATCTAATAAGAACCTTCTTAAATGCTAGGTTATAGTTAAAAGATTGATTAAAACAATTGCATTTTTTTTAAAAAAAAGACAAGCAAGTTAGATCGAAACCAAAACAATATCATTCTTAATTTTCTTTAAAAAAATATCTAACACTGAAAATCTTAATCTAGTTTTTTCACATTGCCATATTTTTATAAAGTGTGATGATAAAGGAATAAAGTTTCTTAATGCCCTTTAAAAACTGCTGTGTTATCATAAAAATGTTGCTAAAAGGAAAAGTTTTAAAAAAAAGCCAAAGAGAAACAGAAAAAAACAAACTAAAGTTATTTTATTTCTTACAGCGCACATTCAATGTTTATGTTGCTGGTTATCTATATTAATGCACTGGAAAAAGTGATAATAAAAGAATAATGTCTATCAGAAACACAACTTTAAAATGTTACATTCTTATAAAAACAGAAAAAAGTAGAAATGAAAGAAAACTTTCTTAAATCTTAGAAGAAAAAGTGTTGAAGAAATGATGAAATTGATTTGCCTGAATAAAAGATTTTAAAAATCAGTGGTAAATAACTTGTGTTTCAACATAAAGTAATGTAGTTTTAATTCTTCCCATTTCGCTTTTCCATTTGTCATGAACATAAATTTGCAAGCCGTGTGCAAGTCTTAGAACTTAACATGAACTGGAACTATTTATAATAATGTATAATTAAAAATACCATTTTAGATTATTCTTTATTACTGGGCATAATCTGAAATTTGCTTGTTGTAATAAGATTATAAAAAATAACAGGCTAAATAACCAAATTAGCAGTGTTTAAATCGGTAACAACACTTACTTAAAAATCATATTTTTACATTAGGGAAAACTTGTTTTTAAAACAGATTCACTGGGTTGGAGTTCCAATTGTTTCAACTTTTAAATTTATTCTGTTACACCCAATTGGTAGACTTTGTGAATAAACACAGTTAAAATTGTTAGAGGCTATTTCCATTTTTCAAAATTTCCCAATATTTTTAACACTCATTAAATGGTGTTTTACTGTTAATATCCATAGTTATCTAGATTTTCATTTGTTATTTTTCAGAGATTATTTTTTTAAACATTCAAAATTTCATTTTTTTAAAAAGTTGTTAAAAATTATTTTGACTGTAGAATTCTTAAGATTTAGTTTCATAACATTTCAATTAAAGATACATTTCAAATAAATTATTTACAGTTAAAATTGATTTTTTCCTCCCACAGAGACTGTCTGTAGCTGAAAAACAGCCATATGAAAAACTTGCAGAGAAACATAAAAATGATCCTTGCCTCCGTGGTGGCAAATTAGCTTCTGATGGAACTCGAGTAGAAGTAAGTTTGTAACTTATTATTATGATTAACATTGGGCCTGTTTCATAGTACTGAGTTTTTGGAGCCCACTATAAATTTCTTAAACTTTGAAGAAAATTATTGTTAACTGTTGAATTTTCAATTGATTAAATTTATTACTGATTAAATCTATGTTATATTTTCTTTCTTCAATATTTTTGTATTACTTATAAATATTTCATTCAAAAAATAAAAATGTTACAAAATCTTAATGAATATTAAATAGAATTCATGATTTTTGCAAACTAGAAAACATTTCTACTAAATGTGGTTTGATGGATTGCTACTTTAAATGAATTTCTCAATTTCTAAATGTTTATTTTATATTAATTTTTATTTTAATGAAAAAGTGACAAAAAATGTTGTTGGGGTATCCCAGCAAAATATTTTGTATTAAATTATAAGTTTGCTTTCTGAACATTTAAAATCTACTGCAAATCATTTATTGTTAATGAAAAGAAAAAATATCTTCACTCTTCTTTTCTGATGAAAGCCAATTAAACTTTTCGGTTTGTTTTTGATTGTCTTCGTTAGAACTGTTCAGACTGAACTCCGATTGCATATTCTTTAAAAAAATTTTTTATTTAATTTTATTTTTTCTGAATGGGGTTCTTTTTTTTGTAAACACGAAGTTTCTGTTACTTTAAATTACTAACATGCATATTTGTTATTATTAAGGGAGGTTTGTAGCAGAAAGCCTGAAAAAATTCTGTCAGAGGGTATATATATATATATAAATATTTCAGAAGATAAGCCTATCTGTGTGTAATCTGAAAGTACCTTTGTACTTTGAAAATTATCCCAAAACTCATGTAAGCTAACACGAGTCAAATAAGACACTATCTGTGTGGATAGTTTTAAACTTCCTTTACAGACTACCTACCTCTTTAATTTATTTAAAAAAAACCTATTGAAGGTCCTATTGATTCTCTTTTGTTTTCTCTCTCTGATTGATTCTCTTTGAAGGTCCTATTGATTCTCTTTTGTTTTCTCTCTCTCTTCTCAAATCTTTTAATTTACCAGTCCATATTAATGTTAGCAGTTCAGTTGACCTAAGTAAATCTGGTACTAACAGTGCAAGTTATCTAAATTATGAAGCTATCGCATTTAACTTTATTTATTCTTTTCTTGTTTTACTAAAAAAAGGAGCAATTAAAAAGTATTTCTTTACTTCTTGTCTATTTTTATGTGTTTCTTTTTCAACTCTTATTTTATGTACTTATATATTTATTATTTGCTGTTTTGTGATCTTTATGCTCGACAAATGGAAAAATATTTTTCTTGACTACAATCACATTGAATTTTGCAAATTTAACAGCACTTCCAGTAGCACTTTAGTTGTCAAAAATCTTTCTTGTTTTATTAAAAAAAGGAGCAATTAAAAAGTATTTCTTTACTTCTTGTCCATTTTTATGTGTTTCTTTTTCAACTCTTATTTTATGTACTTATATATTTAGTATTTGTTGTTTTGTGATCTTTATGCTCGACGAATGGAAAAATATTTTTCTTGACTACAATCACATAGAATTTTGCAAATTTAACGGCACTTCCACTAGCACTTTAGTTGTCAAAAATCTTTCTATTCTCGGCCTATATTCAGAAATGTGTGGTATTTTAGTTTGTACCTGATCTTCTTTATTTACTTCGTGACTCTGAATCTGAAAAAGTGATGGACAGGGACTATCTATTCCATTGTAGGATCACTTTGTAGTTCTGTAGAGGAGTCAAGGTACTGGAAGTCTAGATCACACTTTAGACAATGAAACTTTTCTTAGTTCTACTGTTTGAATCTGTGTATATGTCTTTAACTTTTTGCCTAGCCATTGGAAATAAAAAAATTTTTTTTAGTTAGTACATATTGCTATTTTAAAAATATTTATTTTGCGTTAAGCTTTACGTGCCCTTTTTTCATCCAAAATGAGGTTAAGGATTCTAAGTTCGATCATCAATGTTGCTATGTGTTTTTGGAAGTTAATTAAAATGTAAATTTAATTGTGGTAAAAAATTCTTAGTTTTTTTAATAAAGTTTATTTTATTTTAAGGATAATCTGCGAGAAGCTATGGAAAAAGAACAACATAAGAATAGGTTAAGACAAGCTGTCAAAAACTATGTGAATCCTGCCTGCATGGATTTAGAGCCATTTATAGGTATTGTTAAATTTGTTGAGTATTATTTGCATAAATTTATATTTTTAAATTTTGACCTTTTTACCTTTTTACATTTGATTTATTTATAAAGCTCTCACATTCAATTTCTGTGGTGGAAAACCTAATTCGCTAAATTTGGTGGTTGATGATAAAATATGACATTTTTCTCACCAAATAAGTAATTGCAATTAAATTTAAAATGGACTTTAGTTTCATAAAATATCAAATAATTTTACCTTTATAAGTTTATAATTTAATACATTCAACTAAAGTATTATATTCATATTTTTTTTTAATATTAAATCTTGTATATGTTACTTTTTTCAAAAGCTTTTTATCAAAATCAAGATGTATACACGAGCTGTTTATGTATGAGGTTTACATAGTTTTTACCAAAGATAAGAATGACTTGTCTAAGACTTGAGCTACAGATCTTACATTTTTGTAATCTCATGACACCATCTTGAAATTACATTGTCTTTATTATTTCTGTTGATAAATGTTAACAGTCATTACTTATTTTCACGTATTTAAAAAATTACAATTTTTTTCCATGAAAATTATATAGCCTTTTAAAATTAACTACTTAGATTTTTTCTAAAAAAAAAAAAAAAAAAAAAAAAAAACCTTGCATATACAACTTCATAAAAATGTTTTAATAGAAATTAAAAATAGTTGGTGGCAAATTGAAGGGAAGAAACTAACACCTTTATTCTTTTAAAAAATTGCTAATTTTCTATTTTTTATTAAGTGTTGTCTTAAATGTTAAGTAAATATTAAGTGTGTAATATCCAAAAGCAAATAATTTTACATTATTTCATCAGTTACCTGAAACATTTAATTTTAATTTATACTGTTAAAAATTTTTTTATTCTACTTTTTCAAAAAGAATTCTTTTTTCTACCAGATTCTTAAAGTTGCTAAATGTAATGTAGTGAATTTCAATCTATTTTCCTAAATACAGTTTACATTTTTTTGCAAAATGTTTATGATGCATCAAGTATATGATTAGTCTATTTTTTTTTATTTTTTATCCTGTGGTCTTACCCAAGGTTTTTGAAGATTTGCCTGAATTTTTGATGCATGTCCTGTTTTTGATATAAAAAAGCGAACTTCTCAGGATGTGCTTTTGACTTGTATTTAAAATTTTATATGTTCTAAATTTGTCAGAGTTAAATGTGAAATGGTTAAATTGTTTTAGAATAATTGAAGTAATGAAATTTTGCTTTATTTAAATTGTTTTAAAGATTTTGTATAATCTGTTTGGAATTTTTCAAAATTTAGATTTATTATTTTAAATTTTGAAGAATAATAAAATCCTTAGCAGTTATACAGTTCTGAGTAACCATTCTGTTTATGTGTATGTAGGCTTCTAAAGATTATATGTATATTCCGAGTGGAGTGTAAAATTTAGAAATAAAATCAATATTTAAAAATAAAATCTTTTTTAATCAATCATTAGTCTTAACAGAAGTCATATGTTAGGAATTTCATTCATACATTTACATTAAAATATTTAAATATTTTGAAGAAGTTCAGCCTCAGAACTGTNAATATTAAATATTAAAATATTAAATATTAAAATATTAAATATTAAAATATTAAATATTAAAATATTAAATATTAAAATTAAAATATTTAAATATTTTGAAGAAGTTCAGCCTCAGAACTGTTTAAGCTAGCTACTGGATCTGGTTCTTCATATAATTTATCTTGTAAATCATGCAGCTAGGATCATAAGAGGCCCGATCTATTGTGCTAAGAGGCAGAAGATATGGAAGACCACATAATTTACAATTGTCAGCTTAATTTCCAAATATTTGCATAATTTCCGTTTTCCAGAAAAAATGTCATTTACTAGATCTACAAATCACCTTTTTCATTTTTTAGTATTTTTCCTTTTACAGGGTGGCCACCCACCTGGAAAACCTTGAAAACCTGGAATTATCAGGGAATTTTTTTTATACTGGAAAAAAACCTGGAAAAATCAGGGAAATATGGATAAAAACCTGGAAATTTTAAAGAAAAGCTGGAAATTTTTTCTTATATATTTTTTTAAATTTCACTAATTTAAATTATTTGCTTATTTTCTTAATTTAAATTGTTTCATCCATTATACCCACATTTTTTAGACGGAAATGTATCTCCAAGCAGTTAAAATATCATCAACTTACTTTGCTTACATCAAAATTTGCTCCATTATAACCCTGTTAAACTAGAATACAACATAAAATTCTCCCATGGTTGCTAAGCAAATGTCTTTGATCTCTATGCAGACTATGGGACTGTGCAATTTAGGAAAGGCAAAGATTATGGTGGATGTGGAAGACGGGGTTAGGATTCGGTTTTTAAATTCTGTCCGTGTTCACACAGAATGATTCAAGTTTGTTCGCAATTGGGAGCGGTAATTTTTTTCTATTTTAACAAAATGTTNAAAAAAAAAAAAAAAAAAAAAAACCTTGCATATACAACTTCATAAAAATGTTTTAATAGAAATTAAAAATAGTTGGTGGCAAATTGAAGGGAAGAAACTAACACCTTTATTCTTTTAAAAAATTGCTAATTTTCTATTTTTTATTAAGTGTTGTCTTAAATGTTAAGTAAATATTAAGTGTGTAATATCCAAAAGCAAATAATTTTACATTATTTCATCAGTTACCTGAAACATTTAATTTTAATTTATACTGTTAAAAATTTTTTTATTCTACTTTTTCAAAAAGAATTCTTTTTTCTACCAGATTCTTAAAGTTGCTAAATGTAATGTAGTGAATTTCAATCTATTTTCCTAAATACAGTTTACATTTTTTTGCAAAATGTTTATGATGCATCAAGTATATGATTAGTCTATTTTTTTTTATTTTTTATCCTGTGGTCTTACCCAAGGTTTTTGAAGATTTGCCTGAATTTTTGATGCATGTCCTGTTTTTGATATAAAAAAGCGAACTTCTCAGGATGTGCTTTTGACTTGTATTTAAAATTTTATATGTTCTAAATTTGTCAGAGTTAAATGTGAAATGGTTAAATTGTTTTAGAATAATTGAAGTAATGAAATTTTGCTTTATTTAAATTGTTTTAAAGATTTTGTATAATCTGTTTGGAATTTTTCAAAATTTAGATTTATTATTTTAAATTTTGAAGAATAATAAAATCCTTAGCAGTTATACAGTTCTGAGTAACCATTCTGTTTATGTGTATGTAGGCTTCTAAAGATTATATGTATATTCCGAGTGGAGTGTAAAATTTAGAAATAAAATCAATATTTAAAAATAAAATCTTTTTTAATCAATCATTAGTCTTAACAGAAGTCATATGTTAGGAATTTCATTCATACATTTACATTAAAATATTTAAATATTTTGAAGAAGTTCAGCCTCAGAACTGTTTAAGCTAGCTACTGGATCTGGTTCTTCATATAATTTATCTTGTAAATCATGCAGCTAGGATCATAAGAGGCCCGATCTATTGTGCTAAGAGGCAGAAGATGTGGAAGACCACATAATTTACAATTGTCAGCTTAATTTCCAAATATTTGCATAATTTCTGTTTTCCAGAAAAAATGTCATTTACTAGATAATCTTATCTACAAATCACCCTTTTCATTTTTTAGTATTCTTCCTTTTAGCAAATTAGAGCTTCAGTGGTTAAAACATTAAACTGTCATTGTGAAGAATTGGGGCCAGTCTGAGCTAACTTTCAAATGTGAGAAAAAATATTTGTCCCCCTCTCCATTAAAGATAATAATAATTAATATGTATGAAGTAGAATAACTTCTATTCATAATTTTAAAAATGAGACATCAATTTTTTTTTACAAAAGTACAGTACAAACTATTTCTAAAATGTATTTTTATTTTAAAATCAATAGTGCAGGATAATGGAATTACAAAGCTTTAAATAAAGAAGAGATAAATATGTGTATGAACACATTTATCTCAAAAATAAAAATCATTAAGTATCAATAATTTTAGGAGTGAAAGCTAAGATAGAAAAAAATGTTTCATACTCTTCCAACAAACCTCATGGTATAAAAAAAAGCATCACAGAGGTAAGGATTCATATTCTTTAATAACAACAAAACAAAAAGTAAACATTAGAATAGCCAAAACAAAAGAGTAGGCAACGCCATTTATTAATTCAAAACATAAATTTTCTACATCCAGCCCACTCCAATGCATTGGTTTAACGATTCATTTTATTACAAATAACCATACAAATGTTATACACTTACAAAAAAAACAACATTTAATGAATATTTCAAACAAAGAATAAACAAAGTAATCAATCACTTTCTAATAAGTAAAGTCTTCCAATGGGTCTATTTACAACACTGTTTTTTAATTAGATTTCACATGACCTTATTCTACCATCTCTGCCTGGAAAAATATCTTTTATTCGCCCTAACTTCCATATTAATCTTTTAACATTATCTTCGCGTGTAAGTACAACATCACCAATTTTAAGACTTTCAATATTTGTGGGCATTTTATGCATCATAGCAGATCTTAATTCTAGCAAATATTCCTATTGCCAACGTTTCCAAGAATCTTCTATCATCATAAGCCTATGTTTCCATCTTTTTGTTATTTCTGCTTTTGAAGACTCTAATATAGAACTGGAGGATGGTAAAACAGTTAATTGATTACCTATCATAAAATGTAAAGGACTTAAAGGATCCGGTTCATTAATGTCGTTATACATATAAGTTATTGGTCGAGAGTTAATAACAGCTTCAATCTCAAAGTACAGTAAGTAATTGCTCAAAAGTTAATAAAGATTTATGTAATATTCGTTTTAATTGCCATCTATCTTGAAAAACTTAAATGTCGGATTCATAAAATCAATTGCTTTTTGAGAAAAATATTTGAAAAGGGTGTTTTGAGTATCATCCACATTTTGAAAATTTTTGTCAGGCATAAAATGTTGTAGTGTTCAGAATATATAGAAATATGGTGGGTAATTGGAGTACTCCCACTCTTATCCGTATTTTT